ACTGGCCACAATGAAAAAGGTCAGATGTGTTTTAGTCTGTCAAACATTTGGCAATGCGCTACCTCAAATTATGTACAACAAGCATTAATTGATTTATCTGTGAGCTACCAACAGCACCTAAATTTTTCCAACCAAAATTTACATATTTTTTGAAGTGCGAAAGATGAGGAGGATTGTATAGAGATTATGAATTGGTCGTAGAGACAGACACGTATTTGTATACAGCCAAGTGACGAGAGACAGAATTTAGAGACGTAAGCAAAGGAAGAAATGTGTACGTGTCTGCAGTAAGGAAAGCGTTGCACTCTCTCATTCCTTGTCAGCCAGCAGCATCACGTGAAGCGGTTGGGTCGTCTCACTTCCTTCTTTGCTGTAAGATTTTGCCCCATCCCTCCATTTCTTGTATTTTGCTTTGTTAGTTGACGGCACGAAGTGACTAGGTAGAGTTTTTGACAGTTTGCGCTTAGTTATTGCCAAGTTTTTATGAATATTCGTTCTCATTACTCTCTATGTTAATGGCGTGTAAACAGCCAGCTCTAACGTGAAACTCTTGCCTAAGGACCGTAGACGCACGCTACTTCAAGAATTGGCTACCTTCCTCGATGGAGTGGAAATGCGAAACTGCTTTTGTCTTTGGAAAGCAGTTTGATTTTAAGTAAATTAGTGGTTGATTTCGCTGCAGTGAGGATAAAATTTACGAATGATGGCGAGGCTAGTTTGGATGGGTCATTCATCGTAAGTATTGATTGTTTTTTAATGAATTTCATTTGAGTGCGTGATTTTAATTGATTTAAATTGAAATTAATTCGGTAGACGAACACGCAATCTCAGCAGTTCATCGTTTCAGAATTTGGCCTCTGCCGAGGAATGGCCATTTTGGAATTTGCAGTGCTATTGAACAATCCAGCAGTACTGCACCAAATGTGGGCATTTGTTACATTTGGGAATATTCACCAGAAGTCGAAGATTGCATAAATTGGTGCTCTCCGATGACGAATGCCTGCACTGAAAAATACATAATTGCTGAGAATTCTTGGTAAGCAATTATTATCTAATCTTCAGACTGTCTCGAACTGTATTCGCTCAACATTCTTGATTGAGCGATGAATGTATTCTGTAGATTGTAATGAGCAAGCTGTTAAAAGTTGCTTCTCTCCAACTCAAACCGTCCATTATTTTTGTACATCAGTTTCAGGTGCTTATCCTTTCCTGCAGTTATTAGCCGTGCGATCTCAGTAATTCTTCCAGTATGAGATTAAGAGAAGATAAGTTGACCTTCCTTTAGAGAAGTTTAGTGTTGGTAAAGAACCAACACATATGAGACATGGAGGATATTTTCCAGGTAGATCTGCAGGAGACATGAAGTAGTTTTAATGTGTTTGGATAAAATCAAGTTATTTTGTCTTGTATTTAAATTTTTGACAATTTTTTGAAATATTTTATTTGCTCTGTATTTATCATTGATGCAGTGTAGTTGAGATTTCTGTACCATTTTTTGTAAGGTCTAACGGATGTTAGGCCGAATGTCTGTCTCGAAAATTATTAATTGCTTTTTGTATAAATATTTTCTCTTTATTTTCTGTACATATGTTTTTCTATTTCTGCTTTTTGTATATAAGTTTTTTCTATTTAAATTGTATATATTTCACTGATCCTTGTTGTTTAAATGTGTGTGCTTTCTACCGGCCTATGTAATTTTACTAAAAATTTATTTCAGTACGGATTGTTTGTTTCTGTTTACGTTGTAATCAATGTCTCAGAAATTTGAGATTTATGATTAAAATAAATTAATTTTCTTTCACTGATAGGATATCTTGCTTGTATTAAAATTAGATAATAATTATAAATAATTCATTTTTTGGTAATGATAATAATGCTGTTTCACAGTTTGATACTCACAATAAAAATTTGATAAAAGATGCTGGTTATTCTGCATAATGCTTTAAATTCCGAAAATGGTAGTTTGAGATTTTAGGGATGCGAAACCAATATTTTCAAATTGTCTAAATGCGTCAATCTTACTCCTCAAGAAGTCGCATGTTTAGTAATCTTTGAAGTTATTTGCTTGATACGATGGTTTTGAGAGTGGTGCATCGCAAATTATTTCTGAACACATGCAGTGCCTTCTTTAAATGAAAGTTCCTTACTAAATTTACGCAAATTCTGTTTCACAAGTAGCGTATGCCAATTTGATGTGTTCAGTGCCTCTGGCGCAAACTGCATTGCTTTTGTACGTTTACTCAAAGTAAGAATGGCATTTGGTTGATGCATCGCAAAGTGAGGCGATAGCAATAAATCAAATCATTACCTATTCATCCATCAAGTGCTATTTTAACTTCTCTCTTCGGAAGTAAAGTAAAAACTTGAAGAACTAGCTTAAATGCAAGGTGAAGTCTTGCTGGTGGAAGTAACTGTTAATGTAAAAAAAGCGTTAAATGCAATTATACAAATAACTATATTTATTCTTTGCTAAAATTAATGGAAAATAATCAATCACAGTAATTTGTGGACCTTTCTTAACAGTTTTATCATTTTTAACGTTTCCCATTTAATTTCCCAGAACTGTCTTCTCTTTCATTTTGATTTGTAGAAAATTTTTAAATATCATGAAGAAGGCAATCGAAGCTGAACAGACTCCCAAACTAACTTAAAATACACGTCCGCAGAAGTGCACTATCACTTATTTCTAGGTAAGCATTTATTTGATTGTCTTATTCTAGCATTACTGCTTGTGGGTGTGCTTTGGTTAACATTGCTACCTATCACCACACAGACATACCATTTAGATACACATATAATAAATAATTAAAGATCATTTCCTAACATTTCTGTGTAAAAAATGTTTTAAATAAAGTGCTCTCTAAAGTACTAATTTCTTGTTTGATAACTAAATTTCGGTGTAAGTTTAGCTAATAAAATGGCTTAATTAGTTATTTTCAACTGTTGGAATCATAAACGAAGCGCTAACTATTACGTGTTGATTGTCTTAACTTGAGTCTTCACGTGCAGATCACAAATTTTTTCAAATTACAAGATTACATATAGAGTGCTGCTTGGCTTTTACATTTCAGCATACTTTAAACGATCGGTTATTGATTGACACAGAACACGTATAGCAGTAAAAGATTTTATATTGTGGGAAATACTGATAACGGATTAAGATAAGCAAAAGGAATTGCTTTGTGATATTTCAAAAAAGGGGGCAAGGCGATCAAATGTAATAAATACATCAAGTCTTTACTACCAAATAGTAAAGAAGAAATGATGGTTAATCAAAACTTTTTTTAATGTTGTGAAAGGTTACTTATCGAACATTATAATCTGATTAATTGCAGTCAAATCGTTTTGCGTATAACTCCGCATATTTGTTAAATTGAATATGCTATACATACTACATTATATTTTGTTTATATTATAGTAATAGATTCAAAAACGTTTAATTTGATAATTACTAGTTTAAGTGCAAAAAGTTATAAGGAAATGTACATAAATCATTCTGAAATTCAGAATTTAATATGAGATTGGAAGTGTGGAATGCCCGTCGTTACGCTGAATTAAGACACTATGAGACTGCTGCTAAAACGTATTTAGCACTGTTTGATAAAATCCCTCAGAAAGTTGCCTCAAAATATTTAAAGGAATTTATCGCAGTAGTGGAAGAGATATGTGCAGATGGTAACTGCACGGAGCAACAGCTATTGCTGGGTCAATGCCGAACTATGTTCCCGAATGAATCACTCATTTTAAATGCATGCGCGAAGCTCTTTTCCGATATGGGTAACTTTTTTATATCAATTTTTTGTAACCATGTTGAGTTTTTTGAAGCATTTATTTAAAGCAAAGAATTTTTCATCACAGAAACACACACAAAAATGGATCTCCAAATACCATTAAATTTTACTTAATATTTGTAAATTTGATTTTGACTATTTTAATTATTGTAAATGTAATGAATAATAGAACAGATAAATTAGCAACTTTGCTCATGTATTTAAAAATTACGGAATATCTTCAATACTTTTTTATCTAAAGATGTAAGCAATTAATGTTAAAAAATTTTATCGCTTATATAACTTTTAGAATCAATTTTAACTGGTTCTTGATGAACATAAAATAAAATTGTTTACTACAAAATCAAAGATTGCTTCCTAAAATTTTGTAAAATTTCTATGATTTTAGCTAATTCTACTTTCTCTGTTATTATTTATTGATAAGCTCACAATGATTGGTACAATATTAAATGAATTTTCATTTACATTAAATATTTTTTGAAACAGCGTAACATAAATTTAGATTTGCAAACATTTATTTCATTTAGGTTATCTACTGAAAGGTTTTGAATATGCTTTGGTAGCTGCTGAAAATAGCTCTCATGCATTTACACGTGTTAACGCACTTGTGAACATGCAGAAGATCAGGTCCAATCTGTTAGTATCCATGCTCTTCTCATTTATCCTCTATAAAGTCTTTTATCATGTATAATTATGGTGATGAATCGAGAATTACACGTCAAACTATTAATGCATATGTTCTGATCCTTACTTCCATATTTCAATCATCAGTTATCTGTTCTTGAATTATTAAACACTTTTTTTGTGTCTAAATGTTGGGCTCTATCAAAGATTGCTTTCTAAAGTTTTGCAAAATTTCTGTAGTAATTAGTTGTTTCTGTTATTATAAAAACTTTGTCATTCTGATAACTGCGATTACTGATATTCTGTAGCATAAAACCATGGGAATTGGCTGTGTTTAACAATGCTCGCCGTCTCGTTAGATACGAAGCAGCTATGGTACTTATAGCAAAATGGAAACCAAACAGCAATGTTCTTGTGATTGGTACAGGAATTGGTGCGCTCTCATCAATTGCAAGCAGGTTGTCCTAATTTTCATTCAAATTACTCGCTTTAAATTAATTTCAGAGAAAACATTACATCTTATTCTTGCAGTATTCAAAAATTATTTACATTGAACGAGACTTCTTTGCTTATAATGTTAATGTAAAATATTACAGTTGTTCACAATTGTCTATTTACAGCTTTTAATTTTTGTGAAAAACTGAAACTCGTGAGCTCAAAATCATTTTTTGCAGTTAGGCTGAGGTAGAATATCATGAATGCCAGTAGTGCAGTATTATGAAGTAATTGAGTAATTTATTTGTATTTTCAGTAATTGAAATATGATTTATTAAGGTACTTCAAAAATGTGCACTGCATTGAGATTAATCCAAATTGGGCTGATATCGTTGAGATAAGACTGGAACAACGAATACTTGCTTGTAGTTTAAAAGAGTTGAAAATAAAATCTATCGAAATTGAAAAAGTGATTTGCTTTTGCTCAGTGCAATATGTGTTAGAATAATAGTTGCGAAAATCGCTAACGCTTCAATAAACTCAGAATATTTTCTAAATATGTATGTAATTCAATGAGCAAATTCTTATTCTTAATACTTATCAGAATGTTTAAGTCACTTTTTTGTAGGTAGATGTCGTAATTATCGATGTAATGTCATATGGTATTTTAGGCGAAAAAATTTTGCAAACTTTATACAGTTTAGACGAACACTTTCTATCGCAATACCGAATTTTCATCCCCAAAAGGGTAAAAATTTTATTTCATAAAAACTTGCTTAAATTCATACTACCTTTTTATGTGGCGAGTTCAGGCGACAGCTTACGCGTGTATTATTGAATGTCCGGCAGTGTTAGATGAAAACTTTGCATGCATTGGTGGATATCGAGTTTTTTCCGAACGCATTCGTAGATCTTACGGTTGCTATTTGTTCCTAACGAATTTATTTTCAAAATCTTATAACAGTGCTTTTGCACTACTTTTTTCAAAATTGCTCATAATCTTTCTGCAGTGAACTGATATCGTTGAAACAAATAGTACAATTTTTATATGTTTTAATTGTCTTAAAATACAATATTGGTTTCAGGATGTGGTAAACTCTGTTATTCTAATTGCCTGAATATTGATACTTTATACCAAGGTTTTTTCGCTTCTGAAATTCGTAGTGGATACAAAATTTTAAGTAAAGCTGTAGAAATTTTTTCGATAAATTTCTGCAGCCTTGCAGAGTTCATGAAGATTGCAAGCGAAGGTATCACAGAGCTTCAGATGGCTCCTATATTAAGAAGTGGTACTGCGCATGCTATTATGGCTTGGCTTAGGTTTTTTTATTTTGTCTATTTTCGGAAGTAATCAACCTTTTTATAATTTTCATGTCTTAGAAAGTTAGTGAATGGACAAAAGAAATGATAAAGATTCAGTGATTTCTGAATTTATTGATTTACAAAGCTTACAATGATTTCAATGCTTTTCTTGAAAAAGTGATGTTAATCGGTTTGCAAATAGTTTTTATCTAATTTGATGGTATTTATTTACATTCAGGCTAAGGTTTGAATTTTCAGTTGTAAATTATTCACTGGTTTGCCTCCTATCGATTCAAACCCAATTTCTAGTAACAATTGTCAGCAAGCAATATTCCCGCTGCCAAAACCAATATATTTGCTTAAAAATAGCATTTGTACACTAGAAGTGAAGCTTGACAGGAGTCAATTATTCTGCGTTCTGACAGAGATAGTCATACCGAATGATGTGGGAAGTAATGACAGTGTAGCATCAAGCAGTACGGCATTAAAATATTCAGATTATGCAGACATGGATGATTTTGATGTATCAGAAACAAACGATTTATTGCTGATGAATGATAAACCACTGATTAATTTCTTCAAGCAGAGTTTGGATGAAGTGCAAAAGCGAAGAAAATTTATGGGAAGAAAAGAGCCAATGTGTGTTCTAGATATTCTTAACATCTGCTCAATTTCATTAACACTTACAGAAGCAAATCCTACGATATTGTTTTTTTGTCGTAATCATGATTCTTCAAATTTTTATCATTTATTCGATGATGCCTTAAGCGTATTTGGACCATTTCCAGATGAAGATGGTTATTTTTTCAATTAAAATTTTTAACACTCCAAAATAGTTATCCTTTTCTGCTGCTTACCTTTATAAATTATAATGCATTCATAATTTATTGGAAGGCTAATAAATAGTTAAGACATTCTGAACATAATATTAGCAAATTTAATGTTCATATGCAATAGCTACTGTGAACTGAGTGAAATTAAAAAACTATTTTACTTGTCGTTATCCTTTTATATCACTTTTTTTTTTCAAGAGATTTGCAAAGAACAAGAATATAAACCCGATACTGGTTGTCCATTTTCAGTGAAAAAACCTTATAGAACTTATTTTCAGGTATTTTATTACTTCTGTATGATGACATGTTTTAATTTGAATGTTACTAACAATATTTTATATAATAGCAGAAATTATTTATTTAAGGATTGCGAATCCATGGATGCATTAATATTTTGGCCTATTAGTTCACATGGTTTCCTACTCAAAGCTACATTGGATCGTGTTCTTAGCTTTCGGCTTTCCAACAACCAAGCTTCGATTATCCCATCAAAAATTTCAGTCATGGGTCAGGTTGTGAGTTGTCCTGACATTGTACAGCGGTGCAAATCATTTCCAACAGCTTATCAAGGAGTTGATATGTCAAAAATGAGTAATCTTGCCCTTTCGTTTTATTATGGCGTTGAGGTAGTCACATCTTATCCTTCATTATTTCATTCATTGAATAAATCAAATGACTCTAGCATATATGAAAGCAAGTAACTGATCAGATTTTATCTGTTTCAGCTTTCTAGACTTAAGCATGACGTCTTTTCTGATCCATTTGAATTGATTTCCCTACGATTTGATCAGGTTAAAGATTTCAACTTATTGAAATAAATCAAATCTTACTGTTTTATTTTCGCCAATAATTCAGCACAATTGAAAAGTCGGAAAAAAGTTGTCAACTCATTCATATTGATCAAATGATCAGATCAAATCACAATATAATACACAGATGCATTATATGCCTACTGTTTATAATAATTTCGTTGGTAAAAATGCACTTTAATGTTTGATTGCAGCCGTTGCCAGCAAAGGAATCGGATTTACCAGAATTCATGTGTTTGTTCGAAATGGTTTCAGAAGTCAATATAAATGCAGATGGCATTGCTGATGGATTACTATACTGGTTTGATGTTGAAAGCGGTGCTCAAACCTATAGTACACGGTCCTGCCAAAACCTTTCCAAATGTGCCATATACTTATTTGATGAAAGTCGTAAAGTCACAAAAAATGAAAATTTAGTTGTTAAATCCTCCAATTTTCGCGGAGATTTCGTTTTTGAAGTGTCGTGATTTGACTAGCCAGCCTTCTCATTAATTAAATCCATGAAACAGAGCTGTTTTAACTTAGCATTTACTTTTCATCACACTTTGGTTACAAAAAATTGAAAATACATAAAAATTCAACTAAAGTGTGTGAGACTAAACAATGTATGTGCTGTTAATGAATTGTTTTTATCAAACTATGTTTTCCTTTGATTATGTACACAATTCATTTCAAAGTTATTTTTGCCAATAAAACCCGTCACACAAGGTGAGACAAGTACTGTAAAAATTGGTAGTATTGGTTTGTTGTGAGACTTTTTTGCTAAGCAGTGACGGAATTGAGGAGCTGCGAATGAAAGCGTTACTGCTTGAGAATCATTCTAGTTCATATCACTCGAGTGCTGCTACGTGCTAGAAATGTGACTTACTATTGTCGTTGACTGTACTATTAATATGTTTGAACAGGTGAGTAGAAGATCAACAAAACGGTCGAAAAAATGTATATAAGTTAATTAATAAGTAATGAGTAGTTGATTTTAATTCTGTGTCAATTTGTTTAGTCAATAAAATCTTCCACAATTATCAAATATAATTTCGCAGATTTTCAAATCTAATCGTAGGTAGCAGTGAGGTATATTACTTAAATTATATGCAAGTAGTGGACAGTTTGCTTGTCAGAGACAAATACACGAAGTTAACCACTTTTAATTAAGTCATTTTGCCGAGAATTATTATTCAGCATTATTAATAAATTACGAGCAGAATAATACAGCAAATGCTTCTTTAATTCCATTCTTCTCAGATTCATTTTCATAATAATTACGATAAAGTGGCTTCCTTTATGACAAAGAATATTATTAGTGAGGGTTGTAATTGAATTTTTACATCTTGCAAGGTACTTAATACATATCTATATCTAACTATTCACTTCTATTGCCTGAATCACAACTCTGTTCATTTTGAAACACATGAAAGATTTTCAATTTTCTCGGCTAATATCAGCTTCGTCTGATAACTAATTACTAGCGTAGTTCTTTACTCATACTATTAAGTCTTCCCATATTTAGCACACATTTGTTTGATTAAAATTGATTGCTCGAAACAAAATTTTAAACACTGTAAGTTTGATTCCGACAAAAAATTCAATCACTTCAAATTTCTTAACACAATTCATTCTTCTTTGCCAATATCTGGCATAAACTTTGTTTTGTGGGTCAATTCCATGTTTTTATCGTTTACTACCAATTTTTTAATGATTAACTGTTTCAGATGGCATTAGCAAAGCGAATAATTGCACCACTTTAGCATTCAACTTTTCGCAGTTACTGTGATATCAGTGTAAAACTTGTAGATTTCTTTGTGCTAAAGAAATTAATGCTAATTAATTAATATGCAAAACAAAACTGTTAGCGACATATTTGCAAGAAATTTCTTTGCAGTAAAGTTAAACTTTTCTGAAAGTAAAAGAATGCAAATTTTTCGCATTTCATTAATCCAAATGTACTAATTAAAAGTTGCTAGCAGTCAGTGAAGTGATAATAAATTTTCTAGAACTATACGAATGTCAGAATTCATTTCGACTACACTATTGACACTGTCGTGCAAAAAAAGTATTGTTTAACAGAAGTGCCGTGAGAAACTCTCTTCGTCTCCGCAAAAACATCTTTGATTTTTAATTATTTCTTCAAGACAAAAACGAACGAACGGAACAATGTTTAATGTTTTGAATGAAGAGAGAATGAAAAAGTAGGATGAAAATAATGAAAATGTAATGCTGCGTTTAATGTACACTTTGTTATTGCTCAACTGATCAGTAAAATATGTCATAATATTTTATTATTACTATGACTATTATTATTATTATTATTATTATTATTACTGTTTTAACAACTCTGTGCGGTCCTTAATCCAAAAAAAAAATTATTTAAATTGTATAAATGCTTTCTTTAATCTTCATATTATTAATTCGCAAACTTTACGGAATCTCAGGTTTGTCGTTTGCCCATAAGTAATTTATGGAAACTTTTTGTAAATCAAAAATTGAAGAACCATAAACTTAATAGTTGAAAAACTAAACTAAATGTTACGATACTTATTGAATCATTTCATAGAGATGAAAGATGAAGAATTTTAGTTATTATATACTCTGCCTTATGTTCACAAAAAGAAAAAGTCTAATCTTACTAATTGAGATTTACTGCTTCGAAACTAATTTGAAATTTGTTATTTATGAAAAGTACTTATGAAGGATTTTATATGCATTCAAAATTAAAGTGATAACCTACCTTCAATCCAAACTGAGAAAGAACTTGGCATTTTTCTTATTATGAAAATTATTTTTCACAGAAATAATTACAGTACTATCTGTTTATGCAAGAAATGCGCAAGTTATTCTTATCTTACAGCTGAAATTTTAAATAACACATTACTGTATTATAAATTAGATTGATTTGCAAGCACATCTTAGATATATTTGCATCATAAATAAATATAAATGAAAATTTTTATTCATTCATGACTTTTAATTTAATTGAAATTAAGCTTATTAATTGCAGCTCAATCTACACATTGCATAGATAATGACATTTACTGCTACTCCTGGATTGCAGATGATAGTACAAAATGCAATCATATCAGTGAACTTCCAAATTTATATTGCAAGAAAAGTTGCCAGTTATGCGACACTACGCCAGTTCTTAAAGGTTTGAAAATGTTCATTATTTACTTCTTGCATTAGTTTTATTTAAATTCAATTAGAATTTGTTAATTTATATAATATTTCCAAGCGACTAAAATTTTTAGTAATAATGCCAAATTAAATTATAAAACAGTTGATTACTTCCTGCGATGTAAATTTGCAGAATATGATATTAAAAAGACACCAGCAAGATTAAAAAGCATTGCATTTTTGATCGGGAAATGGCGATCTGAATTTAATGGTAAAGCAGTATTTCCTACAATACCCAATTTTACATACGGCGAGGAAATCGATTTCAAACTCATTACTAAAGATAATCAGATTTTAGATGTTATCAGTTACAAGTATGTTATTCCAGTGCCTCAAGTATTATAGTAAGATCTTTGTTTTACTTTACTTTTGTTTATTTTTCGAAAAAAACAAAAACAAAACAACACATGACTGTAACCACTCAAATTTTACACATTCTTTTAAATTAACTCATAAGATATCTTAAAGTAATAATTTATAGGGCATTTGCGTGGGACAATTCAAAAATGAAAGAATTGCACAGCGAATATGGTTTTTTATCAGTTGTCAACAACAATGGCAGTGAAGCAATTTCTCTGAATACAGTAATGAGCAATGGTAACTGCTAGCATTTTTTGTTTCAAAATTTTCTTCCTAGCAATGTTATAACTTCTAATTTATCTGAATCCTACAAAATACGATTTTAATTACGTATTAAAAAAAAGAATTATTGATATAATTGCTTTTTGCATAAAAAATCAAAGGTTTTGCAACTATCGAAGAAGGAAATGAACGAGAGCTTTCGATAGAATTACGCATGCAACGAATTGCAAGAATTACTTTCAGTCATGATCTTCCGGTTTTGCAAGTCATTCTTTCCATTTTGATTCTTGTCATACAATTCAAAAATGAAATAAGTTTCAATTATCAAGAAATAATTATCATAAGTATAAAAAATTATTTATTCTCAAGATATTTTAGATGTTGAGAAGTTGGACACTGTTAGCTCCAAGGCGTCTTGAAGCTCGTCTTTCAATGAGTACTAAAAGTCATCGGAATATTGAAGAACATACCAGTATTATTTATGACAAGATTTACCCATAATAATTATGTTCACAATTAAAAAATATAATTAATTTTCAATACTTTTAGTACTACTACATTTTATTCGTTAATTACTCTGTTTGTATGGATTCGAATATCATTTTATTACTCTTTGTATAATAGTACAGTGTTTATTTAATAAGTTTTCCAACTCTTTTAAAGCAAAAAATTTTAATCAATTTTTTAACTATTTTTCAGTAATAATTTTTGTTACTCCAAAAATCTAATTGATCGTAAGCAAATCATTAATTATTTCAAATTTCATATAATGGCCAAGTTGTTCAGAAATTAAAAATTATTTTAATGAGATTTATGTAGAAATGAGTAGTTATGCATAAGCAGTTTGTTCACAAACAAGTTCCGAAGAGCTCAATATTATGAGTGCTAGTATTATTTAAACATGACAGTGAAAAACAATTAGATGAAGCTTAGGATTACTTTAAGTAATTTCATGCATCTGTGGAAACCTATCATATAATATTCTGATATCCTTTTGTAGTCTTAGCGAAAAACTCCAGAAATAACTTTTTACTACTTGTTTTGGAAAAAATTAATTTTTATGTCCAAATTCAATTTTACGATTAAAAGAGAAAACTAACAAAGGACTGGTTGGTTAATGACAAATGATGGTGAAAAGATGCAAAGTATTCTCGCTGATTATTACTATTTTTGATGAGATTTATCGTTGTGCTTGGAATTTGCAACCATAATTGAAAATAGAAAGCGTTTTATAGCAGAATTACTGCATAAATTTTAATGCTTTGTTGTGGATTCAATGGAAAAGATAAGATTTAGGAAGAGATGCTTTCGGGTAAAGTAATTCTCTAGGTAGCAAGTTACTGTTTAAAATAATTATTAAGCTGACTAATTTATTCATTAACAAAAGGTAAAGAAAAAATTATTAAAGTCATTTAATATGTAGGAAAAGAATTATAAAGTGGAAATAAAAAGTGACTTTTATTGTGAAGCAGATAGATAGATAGATAGATAGATAGATAGATAGATAGATAGATAGATTTAGATAGATAAGTAAACTAGATGGCCCCGCCGTGCTATGAAATTGAATAAAATGAAACGGCGTGAAACTGAAGCGTTCTAAAAGTGCCATTCTTTGTTCATTCATTATTCGTTGAGTGAGTGGGAGAGTGATCGGCACAAAAGGCGGAAAATGAAAAATTTGAACGATTGATTGACCTTGTGTGAGAAATTTAAATATGCAAAGTAACAGTCAAGTCTTGAAGGAAAATTTTGCAAAAGCTTGCACCAAATGGAAATATTAGCTTGAATGAGCAGACTTGAAGAGCTGCTCTCAATGCTAGTAATGATTGACTTATGCATGCTTAGTTAAGTATCTGTGTGATCAAAATCAGTTAAATCTTCTAAGTAAAAATTCTCACTGTTTATTTCAGCATATTTCGTAGTTAAATTAATATTTTATAATTCTTCGTTGTTTGAATTCAGGAATTTCTTTCTAAGTTCTAATAAGATGTACACTCGAAAATTCATCTCAGTCTTTGTTATTTGATTGAAACTAAACTTTACGATTATTTCTTCAATAATACGAAAAAAAGCATAAAACAAATAGGGATAAAATTATCTCATCAAATGAACGGTTGGTAGCAATCTTATGAAGTATAGGCATTCTTACAAAGTTTTCAGTTAACATCACATTTATTAAAAAATAAGTCAACTTTTTTATTGCAGTTAAATTGAAAATGAATTTTTCAGTGATTGAAGTCTTATGGTGAGGTTCTGATGCAAAACTTATGCATAGAATTATGACAGAAACTTTTAACTTTCTATCATAATTTGAGTCAAAGTAAGGTACTTCTTTGCAGTTCAGAATTTTCTGAATGGCATAATTGATACTCTCAACAATTGTATTGTGCTTTGATGGCAAATGTATCATATATTCTTGGTCTTGTTTTGTATTGATAATTATCAAAATTAATCTCAACATTAACTTTATATAATTGCCAAACTGTAAAATTTTTGAAATACTTCTTTGATAGATACTTCAGTAAACTTTTGTCTGTGATGTTATAAATAAAGTAATGAATTATCATAAATGTTTGTTACCACTATTATTCATGTATGTTTTATTGGCATTTAGTAATCAAGTTTGAATTACTTCTGATAATTACTAAAATTAAATTTTCAATAAAACACTTATTCAACAATTGTTATAAACGAAATATTCTAACAAAAGTCCTTGCTCTGCTTTGAAATGATAAACTCTAATCTAATCTAAGGATAACTTTGATGAGATAGAATAACTGTACAGAATTTCTGTTTCTGTTTGCATTATCATTTGAATTCTCCGATTTTGACATCAATCTTTGTCATCTTTCTATGATATTTGCAACAGTACAAAGACCAAATTAATTTTTGTGGTTACATTTTTGACACTCAAACGTTGCACGTCGTTTTCTTCACTCGCCTTTTTCATTCTTACCTTTTAAGTCAGTTTAATAGTTCAATTTATAATAACTCAATTTGATTTGATTTGATTTGACTTGATTCCATTTTGTTTTTTTTTTCGAAATGTTTTTCCATTATTCACTCAAAGTTCTGCATATTTTCTGCATTGTATATTCAGACTTTAATATTTCTGCAAAGTAATTCGCTTTAGAGGAAAATTTGTTCAAAATTTGAAGCACAAAGAAAGCAATTCACTTTTACTTGTCAATACTTTTTATTTATAAAAGATACTCAAATGGGATGCTAACAATCTTTTTCACTAAATATGCATTAGAGTATTTTTAAAGCATTTTTTATTTCAAAAATATAAAAAATTGTAGTAAATATTAATTATTGTAACACTAGAGCTACATATTAGATGGTGCTTAATGTCTAATGAGGACAGCGTGTGAATAGTTTGATATTTTTCGGAAAAATTTTTTCTCATGTAGTTATTATTTGACATGAAAGATCTTTTTTTGTAAAGTTCATTTTTCACATATACTGGTCTCCACAAAAGTTCTGAGTCTGGTGTCATCCTGAGGTTTGGCAAATATTGAAATGTTAAATGCATAATTATCATCAGCTGACTACTATAATTTGAGTGAATGCAAGTGCTTGCAACAGATGTCGTCGGAATCAAATCATTTTCTGATTTCGTTTCATCGCATTTCTAGTAAACTAATTCATTCTATGAATAGCCTCACTTTTGAAGTGAGATGTTAATGTTGTTGAAAGGGATTGCCTCAATTTTCTTCTCAAATTCCACTATAGTCACTAACATGACTTTTAACCGTTCTATAGAGTATTTGAGACTGAATTTTCACACTGCTTACCATACTTAAGTGCTTAATGCTTTTGACATTCCCTAGCTGCTAGAAAGTTTGTAATAAGAAAATAATTGAACACTAAAACTGTACAATAATATATTGAAGCTTCAAAGTCCGTATAAATTAAACCCCGAATCGTATCTCAAAGAAAAGTCAGAAAAATACTTGCAGAAACCAGGTACACAAATGACTCGAAATGTTGCATGGACATGTTGAATACTTGCGTGAGCACATTGTACTCTATGCCACTGTTTTCGTTCACCTAACTGGTTTTCTGTTATAGAATTTTAGTCAGCTACTGAAATAATTGAGCTTGTAAGTCAACAAACAATTCAGCATTTTGCGTGCAAAATTTGTCTATTTTCTTTTAATCTTTCTAACCTTTTGTTTAGTCTAGAGACTAAACTTGCTAGGATTCTTAAAAAGCACACATTTCAATTTTATAATACTTTTTCTTTTCAAATACTGTGCAGTGCTTTGAGTTGCAATTGCATTTAGTTATTCGAATTTTCCGTCAATCTTGGAAATTTTTCTGACAATTTCATTTGCTGTTTCAGAGATAAAATGAAAGAATCTGATGATAAATGAGCAAAAAATCACATAAATGGTCGGTCATTTTTTTTCTCATTATCATTGCATTGTATAGCAAACACAAAAGTAGAAATGATCTGATGCCTATAATTAAATGACGGTGTTGACAGAAGTAAAGATGTGACTTGCTCACATTGAAATACAGCAAAGATGAAGATGATGATGACCTCCGGTAGGTTCATTCTCATTTGTACATAATGACTTAACTACAATTGATTGCATACTTTGCCAGTTATAAAATTCAAATCTCTCATTACCATTGTATTCATTCTTCCCTCGTTTTTAACACAAAGGCAATCGCTGTGTTTGCCTGATATAATTTGCATATTCACTAGTTTTTGTTTCTGATTAGACTGTACTGTATAACCGATAAAAATTCGAAATGGGTTAAAATTCATCTTTGAAGTAAAAATGAATGCAGCAATGTGTGCTTTTAAATTCTGCTTAAAAATAAATTATTTAAAATAAAGTCAGCTGATATTCATAGCAAAGAATTGATTCTTAACATAATTGGACAATTTAATATTCACAAATATCATTTATTTACTCTTGTAAATCATTAGCAGATAAATTTATTGCATGATTGTGTTAAATTGACGAAATTCAAGAGAATAATGTGTATTTTATGGCCACTTTTTAATTACATTGTTTTATTCATAATACTATTTTTATTTGAATTTTTTTACAAAAGCATAGATTGAAAACTTATTCAATATCTTATTAGAAATATGAAGAGTATTTGTCATCCGGCAGTTTTGTGATTAAACAATTTTAGAAAACCACTGAGATTACTGTAAAGCATTTAATTTCTAATTTATAACTAAATTTTAAAAAGACATAGAAGAATTTATTTTGTTCATGACTTTTGTTCATGTATTTAATTACTCAGTGGATAAAGAATTCTTGTTTTCACTCTACTTTTAAATTTAAAATTCAATTAGTGTGATAAAATTACCTAAAAATAATTGAAAAAAATAATGTATATAAAGTTGACGATTTTTCTTTGCTTTCTTCGTCATTCAATGAAGGAGTGCTCAATATCTGTAAATTTTTAATTTGCTCTTACATCAGAAGTTATCTATCTACCCGCTAAAATAAAGCACTTTAGGAATACACTCA